AAGAGTGTGTAATGCAGAACTACTATGTATCTATGAACCCCTGCTATGTATATGGCATTATAGCGCCCAGTTACTCAGCTCTTTCTTTCAAAGATGCAGATGCCAGGTCAGAATTTCTGCTGGCAGGTAGAAAGAAAAGAGGGCTATAAACATGCCCTGTGTGTTAGTGGTGGAGGGAGATGGTAATGGCACAGTGAATGACCTAGACCAAACACCACGCTGCAAATAGAAGATGTTAAAGGAGGTGTATCACATGCTATTCCTGTGCTTAGCATAACTTAGGCTTTTGCTATTTGCTTTGTTTACCTTAATACAGGATCCTGCTACCTCAGCTCCATTCAGACTTTCCACAGCAAGTTGGGCAGCCTCCAGCACTTCGTATTGGATACAGACATAGGGCTTGAAACGGGATGATAGATAAAACGTTTCAGGCTCTTCAAACGTATCAGTCCTCCCCTTTCTCAAGTCAGATCTCAATAAGGGTAATTTTTTATATAGCCCCCCAAAATTTCTATATTTCCATATATATTAGCTGTTAGAAACAAGGTTTAATTAGCTCAGCAATTAATAACACCACTTCTGCCATTAAAGACCTTAGCACGTCCGTTCTCCCTTAGGAGAGCCACAAACTATCTCAGCTTCCCCAGGGCTCAGGTTAAAGTCCTCTCCCCTAAATGGTGATGCTTTTTCAACAGCTCACAGCCACCCTATGGAACGAGCTCGAATAGCAACAGTTAAGCAGTGTGAGCTGTGTTTATTCTTGTCATTGTGCAGAACACCTTTTGTACATTGAATCGTTGTAGCTGGTAGCTATGCTACCAGAAAAACAGAATAACTGGTATTTAAGTGGTTTGAATTCGCACCTTTCCAGGAGGTTACTCGAGAATTCCCTGCCTGTCAGCAAGCTGAATGCGTTGACTGGTCCTTACCCGGTATGTTTCTGTCACCACTGTAAGAGATCGGATTGGCCCGCACCTCCCAAATTCTTTCTTCACGGACTTCAGGCAAAAGTTTTCATCAAAAGGACCTGCGTAAATTGTCAGCATGTCAGTCAGCTTGATTCTCACCTGCAGGAACACAAATCAGAGTAGGAACTTCACAAAGCAAAGGAACTAAGTGCCTGTGCCTCCAAATACAGAGTCTCTTTCCAAACTCAGCAATGAAGAATATCCTCACTCAAAAAATATTACCTTTTCACAAATTCCAGCAAGAAGGTCAGGTGCAACGTACTCTGGATCCAAACTGAACTGAATGATACTGAATGTGGACAGGGGAACATCTTCTAGGGCTCTCTGAAGAACCTGCAGGGAAGAACATATGCAAGGCTCAAAGGGGTGCAAGGCAGTGGTACAGCAAAGGATCAGAAACAAAGCTACGGAGCTTAATTCACAACTTTACTTGTCATTACTGTCCAAGGAAGACCTCAGGCAGGAACCACTTTGATTGAACGTCATCTTTAGTGAGTCATGAGGATGACACAGGATCAAAGCTTATTTCCAAAATGTTAAACCAGATATAGCTAACATCGTATTACGACTACTCCTAAGATTACTGTCAGTCAGCTTTTTAAAATAGGAATCATTTCCGCCCGGAACAAGAACTTTGAACTACTTTGATGCTTGCTTAGACCAACCCACTCTCAGTCCAGTCACCTGTTTGTTTGAAGTGCTCAGGTTACTCTGACACAAGCCAGAAGAGTCTAGTTCCTGTCTGCCCAAAAGGAGGGGTTTTTGGCCAGTCATCTGCAAGCAGTCTAAAAAACTAGCAGACAAAAGAAAGCTATGAATCACACTACATATCAATATAATCAGTTAAAAACTTTCAAGAAGTGCCTGTCAGTGAAAAATGGTACAGTTCTTTAGAGAATATTTTAAAGAATATCCTTGTCCTCAACATGAAAAGAAGCCTAGAATACTCTTTGTGAAATATTGATATATCTTCTGAAAGTTTTCAAGGCCTATTCTACAATTATCTCTGTTTCTCTGAAGATACTGATTGCTTCTGAAAACATAACACATGATTTCCCTAAGGATTCAGTCAAAGGCAGAACATGCATATTTGGAAGTCTTATTACCATGGTTTGGATAAACGTGGCGGATCATTCAACTGTCTCTGGACTCTATTTTGTTGCAGTTGTAATGCGGATTTGTTCTGTGATACCTCAGTCAGTCTTTCGGTTGTCAGAAGCATCTCCAAGTTTAGTTCTGCTACCTTGGGGAAGGAGGAAGATCAGTAGTTGTCTTTCATTACAGCTAATTGTTGCTATTCAAAAACATGCGCCTTCTCTATGAGTCACCTAGGCATATCAAGTAGAGAAACAGAGGCATTCACTTCTTGCCTTATTCTTTTCTGAAGTCATTTTTCAAGCATGCAGCACTCACAGCATCAACCAGCAATTATCTCCAGAAAGTCCTCTCAGAAACACACAACACAAAGGACAGACTCCTAAAACCAGCGGAATCCCTGCCACAGTATATAAGGTCCTCACTTCTTTCATTTGACAAAAATGGCATGCAGTCCTGAGGGCTGGAAGTGTTCAAATCGGTCTTTGCTCCAATGCCCCTCTTTAAGATCAGCAGCAACCCTAATTCGTGTCAATGTTTGAGCACTGAAACACTGGTAATGCGCCGGATTACTGAGATTACTGGATATACGCTAAAAGGAACGAGCTACCAAAATATCACAATTCCGTTTTCTCTTTTCAGTCAAAAAGAGGCTGAGCAGAAATGGGTTTTTTTTTTCTTCATAAGCGCAACAACTTGCATGTTCTGCTATTAAGGTCTTTTACAAAATGGACAGAAATCTTAATTAGGTATAGCTACCTTTGCTGGTCCCTGCTCAATAAAGAACTGAGCCAATTCCAGCGCAGCTCTAGCATCTTCTGCAGGATCATGTCCAAGCTTCTGTTCACATTGGATCTCTTTCCTAGGGCATCAAAATTAGAGGTACAGGCAGGTTATCTGTTTTCCCACACTGATGAACATCTTGTCTTTTCTAAACTGTGCCTTTTTTGGGCAAAATAGCTTTCCCCTCTTCAAGAAGGATTTCAATTCTCTCCACCAGCATTCTTGTGAAATATTCCCAAAAGTTACTGCAAGAAATGTTTTTGCAACGTTGAGCAAAACACTGTTTACATGGTTTGACAGAAGCAGCGGTAATACATGGTGCTCTGATGCACAACTATTTTTAATTTTACTTCTTCCTTAACCAATGACCCAACTCAATTTGCACAGACAGGGAAGCAACCTCCAACTCAGCAAAGCGTGGAGCTGTAGACTATTAACGTTCACCTTGTGAACGGACAGCACTGTATCGCTAACACATGCTATCCAACAGTAGCTAGTACACCGGGGAATACAATTAAGTCAGTAAATCATACTTTCATACCTTAGCTTTTCTTTCTTGATAACTGCAACAAATCTCATTTGTGAGAGTGTCTTTGTTGCTTTACAATTCAACACACTGACAATGCTACAGACTTGCAGAAAAGCTAGTTTTGTGGTTCATGTACAAAACAAGCACTCCAATCTGGTCATGTCACAGCATCCGTTTGCCCAAAGACTAGTCAATTTATTAAAATGCCTGATGTTTCAAGGTGGCAGTAAACTCCTTATCATGTCTATTTGCACATGCTTCTCCTTCGAGTTTTAGTGGGGGGGGGG